CATCTGCAACACGTCCTGCTGCCTGCGCGTGAAGTTCGGCTTTGCCTGCCAGCCTGGGCAGACAGATATAGGGAAAGCCGCTCCCCCTCGTTGTAGCGCGCGATGGCCTCGGCCTTCTGGTGGTGCAGCCGGCGCCGCTGTTGCCGCGGAGCTTCCTCGGGAACTGCTGCATCACGGCCCTCACTGTGATCAGCTTGCAACGCTTGCGTTAACCAATCAACGTCGAAGCGCCCTGAGAAGGCCAGCACCTCCCAGATCTGTTGAGTACCGGCCACACGTTGCAAATGGCGATGCCACCGCTTACGCTTCTGGTCTTTCACAAACTTGGCGACGCTACCCAGACCTGCACCCTTGGCCTGGCCACCTTTCCCGCAGGCTGAGAAGCACCGTGAGAACCTTTCTTACCGCCTGGCCCTTTGTTCGGACCCTGCGGAACCGCATGGCCCCCTTGTGGCGCAGACTTGCCTTTCGCTTTTCCCTTTTCGATATCCCGTTCCTGAAGCGCACGCTGCTGCCGCGACTGCTCGCACTGGTCGCGAGCTACTCTGACCAATTCCTGGCGCTCAGGCTCCGCGAGAACGTAGCGCATGTCGTCGATGTTCTTGCTCCGCAGAAAGTCATGTCGAAGCTTAAGGACAGAGAGAATGGCTCGTCCAGTCTCCTCCTGAGACGCAAAGGCCGTGTCATATTCCGAGCCAGGCTGAGGAGCGCCAGCTGGATCAGTGTCCGCTGGCTCCGTGGACTTCCTCTTTTTGAAAAGCAAGAGACTGAGATGATGGAGGACTTTCGGATTGTACTCCTCGTCGTACCTGTCGTCCCAAAGCTTCCTCAGCTCCCTGTGCAAGTCGTCCGCGCGATTCTGAACGACATCCTCGACGCAGTCGGGATCGCCCGGTGAAGTCGGTGAAAGCGGAGGAGCAGAACTCGGCGACCGATCCCAATGCACAGAAGACTCGCGGTCCGCCTGTACGCTGACGTCGGCGTCGGAGACGTTTTCGACGACTATTTTCCGCCTCTTGCTCTCCCCAGGCTGAATAGCACCAGGGAGAGTGAGCACAACCGCCACCGCATCGTGTGCGTCGTTGCGCATGCCACGATCCGTAAAAGACGCGCCAACGGCAATGGAGCAGAAACGGGCGACTGCTCCGCAGACCGCGACGTGGTCGCCTTTGAGGTCGGCCGGAGTGGCATGGACCTCCCATACCTTCTCGTCGTTCTGCTCGCGCTGGTAATCCTCCCGCGCCTCCTGGAAAGTGAGGTTGTCGTCGCCGACTACAAGCACAACGACTGCCTCGTTTAGATTCTCAAGAATCTTGGCCAGGCCGTCCAGGTGCAAGCGGAGATGGCGAACTGTCCGCTTTCGAGTCTGGATGGTCGGCGGTTTCTTGCCGCACACGATGTGCATGTTGGCGATCACCACGTGGAACTTGTCATGGCCTGGTTTGTTCACCTCAAAATGTGAAATAACAGCATCATTCTCTCGGCCGCTAGGAGGCCTGTAAACTTTGCTGTCTTCGCACAGAGTCAGTTCCGCAGGCTGAGAAGCACCGCGGAACCCCCAGAGAGTCAAGTAGTTGTCGACCTCCGAGAAGCGAATGCCATCACCGACAGGCTTACTGAGGATCTCTGTCACGTTGATCCCTGCTCGGCGAAAGCCTTCACGGAACGCACCGACCTCGCAGCCACAGACCATATCAGCATCAGCGGTCTCCACTATCTTGGCGCACAACCTTCCGAAATTAGCGCAGTGAGCGGCCGCCTGCTTACCAGTCATCATGCCCTGCTCGAACCCGAAATTGAACGAGGCGACCGTGAAAGACGCAGGCTGCACAGCGCCAGAACCAGGCGTCTGTCCACCTTCCTCCGCAGGCTGAGAAGCACCGCGAGGCGGCGCAAGCTGAGAAGCACCGCGAGGCGGCGACACTTCGGACGAGCCTCGCGGAGCAGAGGCTGCGGATGAACGTTGGACATGGGGGTACGGCCAGGGGAACGCCATTGCAATCAAAACTCAGTGGACTGCAGTGAATGAATGTTGTGGCCAATTGAATGCAGAGGACTGCAGTGTCACTAGCAAGTCCTGAACCAAACACAGCTGTGGCGGAAGGAATATGAAGCGTCTGGCTATTCAAAATGTTGCCCGGCAATGTCCTCCTCCTCCTCCTCCTCCTCCTCCTCGTCCTCCTCCTCCTCTTCCTCCTCCTCCTCCTCCTCCTCCTCCTCCTGGTAGTCCTCCCCCTCCCCTCCTCCTCCTGGTAGCCCAGGAATGGAGTTCTGGGAACTCGAAGAGCACGAAGTGGCCTACAGTTGGCTCCGGGCATTCAAATTGTGGCCCGGGAATGGAGTTCTGGGAAATAGAAGAGCACGAAGTGGCCTACAGTTGGCTCCGGGCATCCAAAATGTGGCCCGGGAATGGAGTTCTGGGAAATGGAAGAGCACGAAGTGGCCTACAGTTTGCTCCGGGCATCCAGAATGTGGCCCGGGAATGGCGTTCTGGGATGTCGAAGAGCACGAAGTGGCCTACAGTTGCATCCGGCCACCCAGAATGTGGCCCGGGAATGGCGTTCTGGGATGTCGAAGAGCACGAAGTGGCCTACAGTTGCATCCGGCCCCCCAGAATGTGGCCTGGGAATGGAGTTCTGGGAAGGCAAAGAGCACGAAGTGTGTGACTGTTGGTGAAAAACGAGCCCGGCTCATGCCGCCCGGAAACGCCCCAACACCTGCCCCGACCCCCCTGTGGAGTGATCTGTGAGCTCTTTTGAGTCAACTAGAAACCTATCAGTCTTCGCTGTTGGAGTAGTAATACAAAATCAACATGTTCCTTATTTTTTCCTCTCGACATGGACGTCCTGTCGTCCACGGCGATAATCCATTGCAAAAAATACAACAAAGAGCACCCGCGCGCGTTCATGTCAGAATCCTACCGAACACCGTGTGTTTGCAAGCATTTCAACATAAAAACATCAAAAACCCAATGCTTTTTCACAAATATTGTACAAATTTCCCGCCCGGGCTCTCTTGCTGAAATCATAGGAAAACCATAGGAATCTTAAGAATTCTGTCAAATCCAGCGATTTCACGTCATCGCGCGGTGCACTCGCGATGCTCTGTCATGCACCCAGGCCGCGAATCCTGTGCAAAAAATACCACGAAGAGCACACTCGCGCGTTCATGTCAGAATCCTACCGAACACCGTGTGTTTGCAAGCATTTCAACATACAAACATCAAAAACCCAATGCTTTTTCACAAAAATGCTTTGGGGTGTCCTGTCAGACCGTCGGGCTTCCTCCGGCCACCTCTGGCTTCCTGCGGTGTACCGGGCCATTCTCGACTCGTCTGGCAATGCGTGCGCGGCATTCAACACGCGCTCGCCAGTTCCAGTCGGCAACCGCCATCGCGGCCGCATCAGCTGTACCAAACCGGCTGGCCGGTGTGACATCGGCCCCCAGTTGTGCCAGCTTTGCTTCTTATGTTGTGGGAGGGCGGGTGGGACTGGGCATGCCATGCTTGACTCGCTCGAGCTGGCTAGCTTGACTCCTACTCATACTCCTACTCCTATCCTTATTCCTTATTAGAATATACTCCTACTCCCCCCTCAGGCCGGCAGATAGGGGCCGCATCCGGGTGGTCCCATCCTAACATGTAAAAAACAATACAAAATCAACATTTTTCTTATTTTTTCCTCTCGACATGGACGTCCTGTCGTCCACGGCGATAATCCATTGCAAAAAATACCACAAAGAGCACACGCGCGCGCTCATGTCAGAATCCTACCGAACACCGTGTGTTTGCAAGCATTTCAACATAAAAACATCAAAAACCCAATGCTTTTTTTCACAAAATTGAACAATTTCCCGCCCGGGCTCTCTTGCTGAAATCATAGGAAAACCATAGGAATCTTAAGAATTCGGTCAAATCCAGCGATTCACGTCATCGCGCGGTGCACTCGCGATGCTCTGTCATGCACCCAGGCCGCGAATCCGGTGCAAAAAATACCACAAAGAGCACACTCGCGCGTTCATGTCAGAATCCTACCGAACACCGTGTGTTTGCAAGCATTTCAACAGAAAAACATCAAAAACCCAATGCTTTTTCACAAAAATGCTTTGGGGTGTCCTGTCAGACCGTCGGGCTTCCTCCGGCCACCTCTGGCTTCCGGCGGTGTACCGGGCCATTCTCGACTCGTCTGGCAATGCGTGCGCGGCATTCAACACGCGCTCGCCAGTTCCCGTCGGCAACCGCCATCGCGGCCGCATCAGCTGTACCAAACCGGCTGGCCGGTGTGACTTCGGCCCCCAGTTGTGCCAGCTTTGCTTCTTATGTTGTGGGAGGGCGGGTGGGACTGGGCATGCCATGCTTGACTCGCTCGAGCTGGCTAGCTTGACTCCTACTCCTACTCCTACTCCTACTCCTTGCTGGTTTCGGCCTGGCCGCCGGGCGCTTTCCTCGACGCGCGGTCGCCAGGGAGGCCGGGTGCACGCGCCTGACTCGCGCATCCCCACCTGCGTCCGATCCGACCCTTGCTCCTCCCGCGCACCAGTCGTGGAGAAGAGCGCGTCGCGGCCGACTGTGTTTGGCCGTTGTCGCTTTCCCGGGGCCCACTGCGGGCCTCGCGGGCCGTGAGACGGCGGCTCTGGATGTGGGGCTGGCCGTGAGGACAGGGGCCGAAGCTTTCGGGGGTCACGTGGCGAGCGAACAAATCACGACGTCGGGGTTGTGATATCCTCGTTCTCCTTTCTGCGTGTTGTCCCTCGCGTTCACGTTGTCGTTCTCCTCCTCCACTTCATCGGCTTCCACCCTGCCTCCCCTGTGGTCGTCCTCGTTCTGATGCTGCTCCTGAAGCGCCGCCTGACGCTGATGTTGAATGTGTGTCTGTCAGCGGGTTGCTGGTACCATCGGTCGCCCTCCCCTCTGGCTGCTGGCCTGCGAGAAAGAGGGGGAAGGGGAAGGCAACCACGCAGGTCAGTCAGGGAGGCAATCGAGGAGCGCCCGATCGACGGACATGGGGGCCTGGTGCCGGAGGAACGGTGAAACGCTTAGGCTCGCGCCCCCGCCCCCAGCAGCCGAACAGGTCCATCACCGAAAGAGCTATGTGACCGACCACGTGCCCGAACGTTGGACCGACACTAAAGTGGAGACCCGTGCCAAGAAGCACCCTGCTTGCCTCTAGGGTGCCCCAGGTCTCTTGGGTTTCCATGATTTTGCGGTGGAAAGCGTGACCTTCCCACACCAGAAATCCATGGACGTCCTTGGGTCTCAGGGTTGGGTTTCTTGTGGAAGGTTTCTTCTGGACTGGCCTCCGCTGTAGACATCGTATTGTTGGTTGCTAGCCGAGATATCGGTCACACTCTGGCACGGTCGGGGACACTGGGCTCCTGCGCCTCCTCCCTCCTCCCGCTGCTCCCCCTCGCCCCCCCTCCTCCCGCTGCTCCCCCTCGCCCGCCCTTCCGTCCGCTGCTCCTCCGCGTCTCCTCTCCTCCCCCCCTCCGCCCGCTGCCCCCCCATCGGCCTCCCCCCCCCTCCTCGTCCCCCTCCTCCTGCTGCTGCTCCTCGTCTCCTCCCCCCTCCCTCCGCCCGCCAGTTTCCGTCGTCGTTGTCGCCGTGGTCGTCCTTCCTCCTCCTTCCTCGTCGTCGTCGTCCATCGTCGGCGTCTCGTCGTCGTCCCTCCTATTTCGTCGCCTTCGTCGTCGTCGTCGTCGTCGTCGTCGTCGTCGTCGTCGTCTTCCCTCCTCCCCCGTCGTTGTCGTCGTCGGCGGCGCCGTCCTTCCCTCCCCCTTCCCTCCCGCTGCCCCCCCAGGAGGAGTGAGCTCGGAGGCCCCTGGATGATCGCGGACCCGGGCCCCCTGTCAGCGTTCCACCCGCCCGCTGCTCCCCCTCGCCCTCGCCCCCCCCCCCCTCTCCCTCGCGCGCGGGGGCTCCGCCGCCTGCCCCGAGCTCGACCGGGCTTTCGCCGCCCCGGGTGGCGTGCTCCGGGGGAGGCCCCAGGGCAGGGCGGCCTGCAGGGGCGCAAAACTGCCCGCGCCGGCGTCGCGCCGCACCTCGAAGACGGCGCAGCGCCGCAAGCAGAAACTCTAGGCGCGCCGCCGCGGATGTTTTGGATCCGCGCTACAGGCTCCCCCGGCGGCGCCCCGTCGCGCCAGGGAGGGGGGGCCATCGCAGATCCAAGAGATCTGCGCGGAGCGGCAGAAATCATGTTTGAGGCGTTTTTAGTTCTTTTGGCACCAGCTCGCGTTGGGGTGGTTGGACCACCAGGAAGAATCTCGAGCACCAAAAGAGTATACAAGCGAGGGGGCCTTCACGTGCTGGGCCCCGGGAGACGATACTTTCTCGTTCGTCGCTGCGGCAGTGTGTCGGGCAGACACTGTCTCGATATTCCTCAGGCTGATCGAAATTATTTCTGGGATGTGGTCCTTGATTACGAGGGGAACAACATATCCTAGATGGGGTATACAAGCGCCAGCCGCTTTGGGACAGGGAAGCCTTCCAGGTTTGGTCCGTGTAGGTGGGGTCAGAGGATTGCGCCGCATCGCCTGTGTATCGGCGATGGGGCTCGATGAGGAGGCAGATACTCTCCACGCCATTTTTGTCGATGCGCCGCCGACGTTGTCGTCGAGGCATCGGCGATGCGGCACGATCCTCCAACCTCATCTACTCGGACCACACCAAGGAGGCTTCTGGATGAGGAGGGAGTGCAACGTTATTGTCGAGGCTTTCGGATTTTGTCATTGTATCTCAGCGGTTTCCCAACCCCGGGATGCCTCGCAGCTGCGCCTCGCCGAATGCGTTCCGCGGAATGCCCGGATCGTTCCGGGAGGCCCAGGAGGAACGGGAGCAGCGTTAGAAGTCGGGGCCAGCAAAGCGGGGGGTGATGACAAGGGGGGTGGATTTCATGGCGTGGGCCATGATATCTCCCCAGATTTCATGGCGCCACCTTTTATTTCGTTACGTCCCTGGCCCCGCCGCTGAGCCGCACACATGCCGCCGGCCATGATATGCGCCCCCCCTCTTGGACGTCCCGCTCTTGGCCGCCCCCGAAGGAAGGGGGGGTACAGTGCCGTTTTTGATACATGCTCCGCATGCGGATCATGTATTAAACATGCAGGGAATTAGTACTAACAACAACGATGAGTTCATGCATAGATGCATTCATGAACTAAGCATGTATTTAAAATCCAATATTGTTTACAAATCCTATGTATGAAACAAACTGCCCTGTAGGCTCAGAGGGGGGGGAGGGGGGGGGGGGCGCATCGACCGCCAGCGGCCCTTTCATCGCCGAGAGGGGCCCGATGGCCCACCCTGCCCAGGAGCATGCGGAGGTGCTGTCGGGGGGCTTCTCGCCAGTCTACGAGCGACGTGTCGCCGATTCCAGCTCGACGTCCTTCCTCCCCGTCCTCCTCGTCGTCGTCGTCCTCCTCCTCCTCTCACCCTCCTCCTCCTCCCAGCCTCCTCCTCCTCCTCCCAGCCTCCTCCTCTTTCTCCTCCTTCTCTCTTCCTCCTCCTCCTCCTCCTCCTCCTCCTCCTCCTCCTCCTCCTGCTCCTCCTCCTCCACCCAAAGGGAGGAGGAAGAGGCGGGGGGACTCGAGGAAACGCACGCGTGGACTAGGGCGCGTAGGTTAGCTGCGGGTCCCGGTTCATACGCTTCGACGCGCTCGGTCGCCAAAACTGGCGGCATTGGCTTCCTGCTTCGGGGGGGACTTTCCCCGATTCGTGGATTTTGCGCCCACGCGCCATATCCACGGATCATTAAGCCATCGTCGTGTGCGCTCGAGAGTTGGGGGCGGGCGGCCTGTGGTGGTGGAGGTTGAGAAGGAGAGGAGGAGGAGGTAGGGGTGTGGGGTAGAGAGGAAGAAGGAGGAGGAGGAGGAAGAGGTGGAGGAGGAGGAGGAGGAGGAGGAGGAAGAGGAGGAGGAGGAGGAGGCGGAGGAGGAGGAGGAGGCGGAGGAGGAGGAGGAGGCGGAGGAGGAGGAGGGAGGAGGAGGAGGGGGAGGAGGAGGAGGAGGAGGAGGAAGAAGGGGAGGTGTATTGCTGCTTTGTGCACGCCTTCGTTGGGCTGCGTCGCTGAGGGTCGACATTCCAGGCCCCGAAGTCCTGGACAAGTCATGGCGTCATCATTGGCTAGCCAGGTTGAACGAGTCAGCGGGCCCACCCATTCCCACCCTTCCTCCCAGAACAAGAGAATCAGTGGTGGACAAGTTGATATCGGGACTGAAGCGCGTTACTACTAGCGAGCGGAAGGCGTTCTGGTGCGGTCTTGCTTCCGAAGGCCTGGCGAGGGGAAGCGCGCGGGATTGTATTAACACGGAGGACGAGGACGGAGGAGGGAGGAGGAGGGAAGGACGGGCATGATGGGGAGGAGCGGAGTCTGGACGCCCGAAATGGGTATGGAAAGAAGGGTACAATGCCCAGCAACAATTCCTGTGCATTTTGAACCGGATCCGCTGTCCGCGCCGCCTGCCCAATAGTTGCCGCTGTTGGCTTGGGACAACATTTGTTGTTGGGCATTGTACCCATTCTTTCCGTACCCATTTCGGGCGTCCAAATGGAGGAGCAGGAACCGAAACAGGGCATGAGGAGGAGGAGGGAGGAGGAGGAGGAGGAGGAGGAGGAGGAGGAGGAGGAGGAGGAGGAGGAGGAGGAGGGAGGAGGGAGGAGGGAGGAGGACGGGCATGATGAGGAGGAGGGAAGGGGGGAAGGACGAGGGACGAGTGACGAGGAGGAGGAGGGAGGAGGAGCAGAAACCGAACACAGGACTGGCGTGGATGAGGGGCGAGGAGGACGGGCGGACGGGGGTTGGGGCTGCGCGGCGCAGCGGACGGCGTGCGGCCGCGAGGCGCCACTCCCTCCCTTCTCCGCCTCGCTCTTCCCCCCCCCCTCCCCCCTCCTCCTCCTCCTTGTACTCCCCCCGATCGTCTGTTCCTCCTCTCCTCCTCTTTTCCTCATCCTCCTCCTTTCCCCCTCCTCCTCTTCCTCCCCCTCCCCCCCCCTGTTCCCCCCCCCGTCGGCCCCCGGGAGGGGCGCCGAGGATACCAGAGACACACATATATATATATATACATATAGAGTAGAGAGGGAAGAGAGAGGTAGGTAGGTAGGTAGGTAGGTAGAGAGAGAGAGAGAGACAAAGAGAGAGAGAGAGAGGAAACCAGAGAAAGAGAAAGAGAAATAGAGAGAGAGAGAGAGAGAGAGAGAACGAGGGAGGGGGGCCGCAGACGTTCGACGGCCGCGGCCCTCGACGCCTCGAGCCACGACCCGCGCAGGCGGGCACCGCGCGCGACCGCCCGCCGCCGCCGCCGCGCCGCAGGCGGAGGCCGCCGCCCCCAGCGGCGGAGCGCCCCGCCGCGTGCCGAGGGCGCTCCGCGCGGGTGGCCAGCCATGGCCGCGGGCCCCGCGGGCGCTGCGGCGGCCGAGGAGCAGCTGCGGCAGGCGGAGGCCTGGCGGGGCCCTCGGGGGCCGGGGCTCGCGTCTCCTTTCCCGATCCTCCTCCTCGTCCTCCTCCTCCTCATCCTCCTCCTCCTCCTCCTCCCACTCGTCCGCCTCCTCCTCCTCCTCCTCCTTCTCCGCCTTCTTTCCATCCTCCTCCGCCTCCTCCTCCGCCTCCTCCTCCTCTGCCTCCTCCTCCCTGCTCCCCCTCCTCCGCCCCGCCTCCTCCTCCTCCTCTTTCCTCCCCTCCTCCTCCTCCTCTTCCTCCCCCACCCTCCTCCTCCTCCTCCTCCTCCTCCTCCTCCTCCTCATCCTCGTCTTCCTCATCTTCCTCCTCTTCCTCCTCTTTCTCCTCCTCATCCTCCTCCTCCTCACACCCTCCTCCTCCTCCTCCTTCTTCTCCTTCTCCTCCTCCTTCTCCTCCTCCCTCGCCCCTACTTCCCTCCCTCCCTTCAAGTCCCCCCCTCGCGGCGGGGCCCTGGCCGGGGGCGGGCGGGGCGCGGTGGACTGGCGCAGGCAGGGGCAAAGTGTAGGGGCGGTTCGAGGTCCGATGATGATGATGATGATGATGATGATGATGATGATGATGATGATGATGATGATGATGATGCTGATGCTGATGCTGATGATGATGATGATGATGATGATGATGATGATGCTGATGATGATGATGATGATGATGGTGGTGGTGGTGGTGGTGGTGGTGGTGGTGATGGTGGTGATGATGATGATGATGATGATGCTGATGCTGATGCTGATGCTGATGCTGATGCTGATGCTGATGGTGATGGTGATGGTGATGGTGATGATGATGGTGATGCTGCTGATGCTGATGATGATGATGAGGGTGATGCGGAGGATGATGATGATGCTCATGATGATGGTGATGATGATGCTGTTGATGATGCTGATGATGATGCTGTGGCTGCTGCTGCTGATGATGACGCTGATGATGATGATGCTGATGCTGCTACTGCTGATGATGATGTTGATGATGATGCTGATGATTATGATGCTGCTGATGATGATTATGATGATGATGGTGATAGTAACGATGATGAGGCTGCTGCTGATGATGCTGATGCGGATGCTGATGCTGCTGATGGGGATGATTATGATGCTGATACTGATGCTGATTATGATGCTGATGCTGATGCTCATGATGATGATACTGATCATGCTCATGATGTGGATGCTGGTGCGAATGCTAGTGCTGATGCTGGTGCTGGTGCTGATGCTGGTGCTGATGTTAATGTTGCTGGTGGTGCTGCTGCTGATGATGGTGTTGGTGTTGATACTGTTGTGTGTGTTGTTATCGATGATGGTGTTGTTGCTGATACTTGTAATACTGATGCTGATTCTGAAGATGGTGATGCCGATGCCGATGACGATGATGGTGGTGGTGGTGATGATGAATATGATGATACTGATAACGATGATGATGCTGATGATGCTGATGTTGATGCTATTGATGATGATAATTATCTTCATGATGCCGATGTTGATGCTGATGATGATGTTGCTGATGCTGCTGCTGCTGATGATGCTGATGATGGTGATGATGATGGTAATGCTGTTGCTGATGATTATGCTGCTGATGCTGATGATGATGCTTTGTTGTGTGTTAGGCCTATGTTCATTCTGTGGGGCGGGGCGCGTAGTGGTGGGGTGAGAATCAGGTGAGGGAGGGGGATGGGGGAGGGGGACGTGGGCAGGAGGATCAGGAGGATCAGGAGGGTGAGGAGAATCCAGACGAAGGAGGAGGAGGGGAGGACTGCGAGGGGGGGAGGGGAAAGATGAGGGACTGCGAGGGGGATGACGGGGGAAGGGGACGCCGGCAGCGGGCGCCCCGGCCCCGAGCGTTGCCCGTGCAGGCCTTCAAGGCCGAGGGCAACAGATGGTACGGCCAGGAGGAGTACAGGAAGGCGCTGGGAGCCTACCACAAGGCAAGGCCCCTCTGAGGACAGCCCTCCCCTGAGGACAGCACAGGGACGTGAGGAGGAGGAGGAGGAGCTTGAGGAGGAGGAGGAGGAGGAGGAGGAGGAGGAGGCGGAGGCGGAGGTGGAGGAGGAGGTGGTGGAGGCGGAGCGAGGAGGAGGGAGGAGTCAGAAAGATGAGGAGCGAGGATGAGGACCACCTTTTCCCGACCTGGTGATTCAGGGGTCCTGACTGGGGGTGGGGGGGTGGTTCTCTGGCGTTCTTGGGGGGCCAAGCGATTCCCCAGCCAGGAGCCCTGAATCACAACGTCGGGAGTTGTGGTCCTTGCTGGGGGTGGGGGTGAGTTGTCCTGTCCTCATCCCTCAGATCCGGGGGTGCAGCCACAATCGCGGACGCAAAATGGGTGCAGGGTGGTGGCGTCGGAAGCTTCCGGGACACACGTCGGGGGTCGACTACACGTATGGGTGACCTTTTCGCTTGAGTGGCCTTTGGTGATGGCCCACGGGGGTCTCCCGATCGCCGAATGTGATGCGACAGCAGCGTCTCGTGCGCTTGGCCCCGCGCCCCTTCAAAGCCGCGCATCCACTGCCACGCTTGCCCAGCGTGCAGCCGAAGGGCTCCCTCCTCGGATCCTGGGGCCAGTCGGTAGAAGTTCACCACCTACCAGACCACCCCAACCCAACCCGAAGGATCAGATTTACCCTCGATTTCCAGTGGGGGGGGGGTCGGGGAACGTCGAAAAAACACATGGAACCCGTACCCCCCCCAACCCGAAATTCGGGTCAAATTCGGGTCTTCGGGTTGGGTTGGGGTGGTTTGGTAGGTAGTCAGAAGTGGCCACGACGGAGGGCCGTTGCCAGGGAGGAGGAGGAGGGAGGAGGAGGAGGGAGGAGGAGGAGGGAGGAGAGGGGAGGAGGAGGGAGGCGGAGGAGGAGGGAGGCGAGGGAGTGAGGGAGGAAGGAGGGAGAGTAGGGAGGGCGGTCCCCCCAGGAGGGGAGGAGGAGGGAGGAGGAGGATTGAGGAGGAGGGAGGGAGGGAGAGGAGGGGAAGGGAGGAGGGAGGCGAAGGGGCCTGGAGCTCCCACTGCAGCTCGTTGCGGCTTCCTAGCGCCGATCTGGGCGGGTTTCCGCCTCCTTCTCCCCCTTCCTTCCCTCCTTCCCCCCTCTCTCCTCCTCTCGTCCTCCTCGCTCCTCCTCACTCCACACCCCTCCTCCTCCTACCTCCTCCTCCTCCTCCTCCCTCCCCTCCTCCTTCTCCTCCTCCCTCCTCCTTCTCCTTTCCTCCTCCTCCTCCTCCTCCTCCCCCCCTCCTCCTCCTCCTCCTCCTTCCCCTCCCTGCTCCTCCTCTTCTCGTCCTCCTCCTTCGGCTCCTCCTCCTCCTCCTCCTCCATTCCTTCTTCAGCTCCTTTTCCTTATCAGTGCCTTCTCCCTGTCGCACCCCGAGGCCAGTTTTTTTAGGGCGGTCCGGGCGTTTCGCCTGAGGCTTCCTCTTCACTTATGACCCTGAAGCTTAAACGTTGACAACAGTTTCACAAATGGAGGGCTGGTGGTTTTCAACATGTGGCTCTCGCCCTATCGCCGCGCGCCTTTGTTGTAAACCTTGACAAGAGTTTCACGGATTGAGGGCGGGTTATTTCCAACATGTGGTTCTCGCCTTGGCGCAACATCCATTCGTTTTAAATATTTGTAAGAGTTCACGGATTGAGGGAGTGTTGTTTTCAAAATGTGGCTCTCGCTTCAGCGCCGCGCTCATTCGTTTTTGAACAATTGCAAGAGTTTCACGGATTCAGGGCGGGTTGTTTGCAACACGTGGCTCTCGCTTTAGCGCCGCGCACATTCGTTTTAAGCATTTGCAAAAGTTTCACGGATTGAGGGCGGGTTGTTTTCAAATTGTGGTTCTCGCTTCAGCGCCGCGCTCATTCGTTGTAAACACTTGCAAGAGTTTCACGGATTGAGGGCGGGTTGTTTTCAACATGTGGCTCTCGCTTCAGCGCCGCGCACATCATTTGTTCAAACACTTGCAAGAGTTTCACGGATTGATGGCGGGTTGTTTTCAAAGTGTGGTTCTCGCCTTAGTGCCGCGCATATTCGTTTTTTAGCTGGCAAGAGTTTCACGGATTCCCATGGCCAGCGTACCAGGGTGTTTTTTTGGAAGGATTCGGGATTATGAGGGTGCAGCGATTCTGTTGATTCGCGGTGTTGAGGTCCCATGTACGGCGTCCTGGCACAATTTAGGATCGTCAAGGCGCAATCGCCAGGTTGACCCGTTGCTTTGGAATCCCGAGAACAGTGTTTTGGCATGCTTCAGGGTCTTCAAGCGGTTGTCTTCCAACGAGGCAGTCCCCTTAGTGGAACTGAACCCATGTATGGGGACTATGAAGAGGGAGCTTGGAGGGAGGGTTCATCACAACATCGTTGATGGCTTTTGGGATTGCACAGGTCCTCCTCCTCCTCCTCCTCCAGAGGTTTGCCCAAGCGGATCATATGGAGGTGTTTGTTATGCAAGAAGGTTTCTAAGCATGGGGAGACCCGTCGTCGTCTCTCCCTGGATGCTTGCTCTGCTAGGGCTCGGGGGTTCGAGGGTCATGGTGCTGACAGGCCCCCTTGATGCCGCGCGCCATTGCGACGCTGAGGGCGGACAGGATTGCAACGGGGACCTGCCACCCAGCGCTGCGAGCCACGAGCCCCATGTTGTTTTGCCTACTGCCACTCCTTTTATTCGTTCGCTCGGTTCATAGTCGGACGAGGTCTCCCACCCCCCCGCTCACCGTTTGCGAAAGTGGTCCCGTGACTCTGTGTTCGCCCAGCCCTGTGCGGGATGGCAACAGCCGACGACGCAGCGAGTCGCAGGACACCGAGCGCAACGTGAGGCGGAGGGTTTGGCTTTGAACCCTTATCCTCTCTTAGGGGTGCTACTGGCGCGGAGCAGTCTAGAGCTATAGCCGACCTGGGTAGCCCTGTTATACCCCCTAGGTCAGGTCCTGCCTTCCGCCCCGACAAGAGGAGGCGAGTTGGATCTCATCGCCCCGGGCCTTCCTTAGGCAGCACCAACATTCCCGCCGAGCCCTTGCCGCCAAAGGGGCCCGTTCCGTCTCAGGCCGCCAAAGGCCATCGGCTTTGGGTGGCCCTTGGGAAGGTTTGTCTTTGCGTTTCTGGTGGATTTTCCACCACTGGTGCGGCAGGTCAGCTCTTAGTAGATTGCCTCTCCTCGAACCCTGGTCACCAGCTGAGCGAAAGGGCCCAGAGGAACCGCCGTCTTTTTCCCTCGGGGCTTCATCCCTCGGGCGAGGCGCGTGAGGACCCCCGGCGAGTCCCAACGCCTCGACCCCTTCGGTGCAGATGACCCTGAACTTTTATGGGTCAGGCCCCTTAGGAACCAATCGTCTAGCAGTGGAGTCGGGGGCCAGTAGCCGCGAGAGTGGAGCACCCTCATCGGTGTGCTCCCCGCGGCGCACTCTGCTTTCCCTACGCCCTCAGCCCACCGCGCTGTGCCTGGGGCCCGCCGCCCGTGATCCTCTCGGTGGGGTGGTTGGCCACCTTTTCCAGGCGCGTGAGGACGGCTCACTGTTGCCCTTGCCCCTCTGTGTCGGGAAGTGCACCGCGCGCCCGCCCCAGCAGGTGTCGCATCCCTCCTCCGGAGGTCGAGGCCGCCGCCGCTCCTGAGGCTGCTTGCCCCTCCTGCCAGATTGCCCGCGGGGGGCGGGGTAGGGGAAGCTGCCGCTGCTCGTGGGCCAGAGGCCATCCGGAGACCTCTTCGGGGTCAGTCGGGGGGCCGCTTTGTGGGTCTCTTTCGAAGAAAGCGACATAAACATAAACTTTTGGCGCTCCGTGCGGATTTCTTGGATCCGCGCCGGCCCCCCCCTGGCGGCGCCTCCAGCGCCGCCCCTGGCGCGCTTCGCGCGCAGAGGC